ACGCTTGATTTAAGATTGTATTGAATGCATTTGGCAACAAACAAAACATTTTTATTTTTATCACATTGCTCACATTGCACATTTCCACATGGTTTATAATTTTCTTTGATTTGCAATCAAATTGTTGAGCCGCATTACTGATCTATATATATATATATATCTATCGCCCGCCCATCAGGTTGTAGACGAGCACACGACTGTGTCGAAACCGGAGCCCAAGAATCATAATACTCACATTCTGAAATCGGACTGGTTCTGGTATACCATACAGAATGGCTACGCCAACGAGATGGATTATCTATTTGGCGATGTAAGTGCAATCGAATACCCATTGCAAATCAATTATTCATCTTTCTTCAATTTATCTGTAGTACTTGGATAGCATTACGAATACGCCCAGCACAGATCGTCGCGACTCGCTGCCCATTAGCTTTAACAAGCGGAAACGGAAGCGTTTCTCACAGCGCATCCAATTGGAGGGAACGCCCTTGGGCTCCGGCAAGCGACGGTCTTCGGTGTCGGATGCTGGCCTCTTGTCCGTGTCGAATAGCTTCTTTGACTGCACCACCAGTCCTGATAAACTGGAGAATGATAAGCTGCTGCATGTGGAGCCAGAGGTTAGCGAGGCCACGCCCACCAAGAAATCCATGCGGTTCAATCACTTTATGGACTTCTTCACCACAGAGTCCAACTATGTGGGCATCCTAGATACCATACTGAATGTAAGAGCTGTCGCATTGAATCCTTACCACACAATACTCACATCTTTCTCCCTCTTTCCGTGCAGCTGTTCAAAAACAAACTGGAGGAGCTGGCCGAAACGAATGATCCGTTGCTTAATAAATCGGAGATCAAATCAATTTTTGGCAACTTTCTGCCCATTCACGAGGTGCATCAGAGCATGCTGGAGCATCTGCGCAAGCTGCATGCCAATTGGCGCGAGGATTGCCTCATCGGGGATATCATTATACAGCATCGCGATGACCTGATCAAAGCCTATCCACCCTACGTGAATTTCTACGAGCAGATGAAGGAACAGCTGCAGTACTGTGATCGCGAATATCCACGCTTCCACGCCTTCCTCAAGATTAACCAAACCAAGCCAGAGTGTGGGCGTCAGAGCCTGCAGGATCTTATGATCCGGCCTGTGCAGCGGCTACCCAGCATCAGTCTGCTGCTGAATGATATATTGAAGCACACGGCTAACAGTAATGCGGATCATGCGCGACTCGAGGAGGCGTTGAAGGCCATCAAGCAGGTGACGCTGCACATCAACGAGGACAAACGGCGTACGGAGTCGCGCATGGCCATCTTTGACATATTCAACGATATCGATGGCTGCCCGGCACACCTGGTCAGCTCCAATCGCAGTTTCATCTCCAAGTGCGAGGTCAACGAGCTGTCCGATTCGCTGAGTGGGCGTGGCGACATTCTATTGCTGTACCTGTTCTCTGATTCCATAGAGCTGTGCAAGCGGCGCTCGCGGGGTTTCAACACGGCCAAATCGCCCAGCACGGCCAAAACGCATAAGCACATAAAATTGATATCGCTGAATACGATACGCTTTGTCATCGATGTTACGGACAGTCCGCGTGCCTTTGGCCTGCTGCAGCGTGGCGAGAAGGAGAAGCTCTACACCTTCAGCATCATTGACGAGGAAACGGATAAGCTGGTCTATCTCAAAAAGTTGTGCATGCAAATCGCAGCGCACACGTGTCGCACAGATGCCGTGAGTGTTTCCAAAGCTAATCAATTATATAAGCTGACTAATGTTCTAATATCCTTTGCAGGACAAAATGCTGCTGAGTCGCACTTCACTGGAATTGGAGGTGGACATCAGCGATGTAAATGTCAGCACATTGAGCAAGGCTTTCAAATTGGCTGCCAAGACGCGTCTAAAGGTGCATTCGTTAACTAATTGAGATAGTCGCAACAAACTAAATACGTTTTTGTATTTTTGCAGGTGGGACGTGCCTTTTCCTTTAACAAAACCCCCAACAAGCTGAAACGTGCGGTGTCCACAATGATGACTTCGCCTTTCGGCAGCACCAACTCGTTGACGCCCGCCTCGCAGCTGGCGCAGATGCGTCTGGCCAGCTGTACCAACATTAATGTAAGCTCGAGTGGTATATAGAAATATATGTATTTACTATATCCAATGCTTATTAACAGGAAGTAGCCGATGAGGATTGTGCCAGCATGCGCAGCAATTCGCCATCCACGCAGTCGGAGCTGCTGGTTGTGCCCCCTCTATCGGTGCAGCCCACGCGCAAAAACAAGGCCGTCGTGGGCCGAATTTAGCCGGCGAAGCTTGAGCCTGGCCCTGGCTAATGCTCAACTATCTCCAATAAGCGTATTCCATATGAAGTTTTTGTGTAGGCTTTTAAGTACGTCTCGCTGCAAACACACTCACTCATGCGTAATCGTAATCCATACTTTCGATATTCGTAATCTCAAAAAAAAATTAAAGAAAAACAGAAAATCACGCGTCCAATCAGTATAAGGTCGTAATTTTAGAATTTCGTATAAGATTTATTTGTCGCTCGCGAATGTTGAAGCGTTTGCGTTATTGTAGGCGTTCTCAATGAATTTGTATTTGTAGCGCTCAAGTCTATGAATAATTGTAAATAGTTCTTTCGTATTCGCACATATATAAATATATATATATATGCTAATATATATAGTAATCTATCTATATGTTCAATGTAATCGTATAATGTAACTAATCGTATTAGTGTCTTGAAATCGCATTCACGCACTGAAAAACAAAATCGGTTCGATTTCATCTTTGTTCGGCATTGCAAAAGCTGTGAATGTTTACTGAGTAAATTTTTTTTAAAAAACAAAAAGTACATAACGATTAATGTTTAAAGTCATTCAATTTATTTGAGACGGGCATATACAGCCAAAAACGTTGTATTGTAAGAGCATGATGATGTTTAAGATATAATATACGACACCATGATATAAAACCTATAAAAGAAAAACAAATCGAATTTATTGTTTATTCTGAATGGAAGGGGGTAAAGGGAAAGTCGTAAGTTTCCTTTTAATAATCTGCAGCGAACAATCATTTTTATTATCAATTGTAAATAAGATACGGTAATTTTTTTTTTTTTTTTTAATAGGCTAGCTGAATTTCTTGCTGGAATTTCAAAATACAATTTGGGTCAAAAATATATCCAATTAGGTTCTTATACTAATGAGCACTTATACTACGCTAGTCTTATATGCTGAACATACGTAATTATAGAATTAATAATCGTTATAGACTATATACAGATCTGACCCCAGAATTTATTTTTGACATCGCATCCGAGTGCAGCTGGTATTGCAAGTTGTGCGATTGTAGGTGTAATAAGGTTTTCAACTTAAAACCAATCTCTAGAACGGCCAGCTCGTTGGTTCCATTGGCCGTCCAAACAGCTGCAAAAATATGAATTTTAACTGAATTTACTGTAGACATACATTTTACTTACATATCTTATTGCTTTTCGCACGTATGTTAACTACAGCACCACAAATTTCACTAGCATATTCAAAAGACTCGCCCACCATCATTAACAGTATATCCAACCAGATGCGATCCAGGGCATACTTCGAACTCTTGCCGACAGTGAAGAGCCAGCGTCCGCCCTTTATGTTAGCTTCATCCTCCCACATTGGTCTGCAGATCAGAGATAGTGCTAAGATTTTAGAATATGACAAAGAACTACGCTTAACTTACTGAATGCCATGTTTAAACATATAATAATCGCTGCCAATCTTAAGCTCTGATGGTGTTTTGATAGTATAGTATAATCTGAAAGATTTACAGCTCTTACAATCTATATAGAGTTAGTAAAATTTTCAGATGGAGAGTGACGTACCCCCAAAATGTTTCAATGCTATCTATTTGTGTGATTTCATTGAGCATGTCCTTCCAGTGTTTGGTGCGATCGTTCTCTAGGTACCATAGTGTCCAGACATGCTCTAGTGGATGTTTGTATTCGATTTTATACGTCTGTTCACTCTGCTCCCCGGGCATATTTTCCAGCTCATGGTCTCTTTCCTTTAGCAGCTCCTGTTTCTCGTTAAGGATTGATTGTTCCAAGCGACTCTGCAGAAATTTATTTGGCTCAAAGACCGATGGTTCAAACGGTTGCATTTGGGCGCTGGCCATCCTAATTGATATTGTTTTTAGATAACACCCCTCTACTCCGTTGAAAGAGTAGCAAATAATCAACGATATGTATATTAGCGATGAGTGCGATTGCCGGAATATTGCGGAAATACCGAAAAGTTTTGAGCGAAACGTAACGTGCCGAAACGAGGAATTCTAACGATTAGAAAGAATGCAGATTGAAACCAAATAGTTGACAACAAATGCCAAGCAAATGCTACAGTTACTCAACCTGAGATCAAAGCCTGCTGCTTTATTGTCCAGTGTTCACTTGCATATAATTAATAATTTAAAAATTTTAATTATAACAAAATTCAATTTCAAAAGCTTGTCAAATGTAAAAACCTATTATAAAATCTCCTTGTGCTTTACTTTCTCCTACTACTAGTCATTGTCATTGACTCTGTCTAGTGTTGAGCAGCGAGAAATTAGTGTCAGACAAGCTGACTATGAAGAAATTTAAGAGCGAGCGAGATGACACTATTGCTAGCTACAGCAGAGTGTGGCTGCACTTTGTAAGCTGGAGCTATTAGCAGAGTAGGTAGTTAAAAGGAAAACGAGATACTCTGTTATTCATTCATGTTATTCATTAGATTGGCTTAAGATAGTAACAGAATTTCGCCGCGCTGTTGCGCAGAGTCATTTACATTCTCTCCGAGAGGCCTTTTGCTTTTCTCATTCATTTCAAATACTTTTGTAGCTTTAGTTTTATGTTTATTTTTAGCTGCAAGTTATATAAATACTGCAAAACTTAAGTTAAAACTTTACAAGAAATTAAATTTAAAAATGCGAAGTTTGTAATGATAAGAAACTGAAACTAAATACATTTTTAAAACATTAAAATTACTAGAATAAAGTACACAAATTTTAAACATTAAGGAGCGGCTACAAACTAAACGAGAGGCACTAGCGAAAGGGAAAAACAATAACTAAAACTTAATTTTATGTGGGGGTACGAAATGCGTGTAGCCTAGACCCAGAGCACAGCGGCTGCATCCTCGTTGGAGAGCGTTGAGAAGCGCTGATATCGATTCGCATTACGATAGGTCTTCGCGGGCGATTGACAGTTCAAGGTGCTGCTGCTGCTGCTGCTGGGCGAATGTTGGGGCTGCAGTGGCACGCCCACCCCGTTCAGCGCCGATTTGAGCGTCGAGTTGCGACTCTCTGTGGAGAGCGAGAGACGGCAGCTGTTGCCACCTATCAAGGTGGAGCTGAGTGGCAGACCCACATCATGGAACGAGCTAATCGAGCTGAAGCCACTCTCATCCTCTGTGCTGGATCCATTGTGCTGATTGCTCGTGACAGTCGTTGGGCTCTGCTTGCTGGTGGTGCTGGCTGTGTGGTTCTCTTCATCGGTTTCTATTTTCGACGAGGACGAGGCCGTCGAGGAGATGGTGGAATGCACAGAGCTGTCGGTAGAGCTGCGCAGCGATAGTCGAGAATCTCGCATCGTATTGGCGCGCAAGAAGAGCAGCTCAGGGCTAACAGCAGAGGAAGTGGTGCTGCTGGTGGGGCTGTTGTTGTTATTGGTGGCGGTGGTGGTATTGTTTGTCGTGGTGGTGGTRTTGTTGTTGTTGTTGTCAGCCGGTGCATCCAGGCTAGTCGAGTTATGCAACGGCGCCGCCATCAGCGTCAAGGCAGCGTTGCTCTTCTGGCTCTGGTTTCTGAGTCTCTGGCCCGCAGCCGCGCCGTGTGGCAGCATCGTGAGATCCGGCTGCTGCTGCGATGTGTGCAACAGATTGCGTATGGTGCGCGCCAGACGAAATGCCTCCTGGTTGAGCTTCTCCTCGGCCGCCTCGGGCGAAGACAAACGCGACTTGCAGCCGCCCAGCTTCTTGGGTGAGCGACGCCTGTTGGAGGAGACCATTCGATTAATGAATATTCAGCTCACTCAAGTCACATTCGCTCTCTTACCAGGTAAAGTCCTTGAAGGCATTGTAGCTGCCGGCGGGCGCAATGCTCTCGTAGCCGTGCTCCTCGTTCATCGTCAGCATCGATTTGTTTAGCATCAAATTTGTGCTGCTGCGCGCGCGCATATACGAGGCAGAGTGCGTGGCTGAGGCAGCGGTGCCGTTGCAGTTGCTGCCGCCAGTTGCATCCACATGGCAGCCATTCGGATCGCTCTGCACGCCCTGCACATGATGCAGACTCTTTGAGCGCGAGATTTGCTCCCCCAAGCCGCCCAAACTGTGTCGATTCGCCAGCTGTTGGCGTTGCTGTTGTTGTTGTTGCTGCTGCTGTTGTTGTTGCTGCTGCTGCTGATAGCGCTCAAAGAAGCGAGCAACCTCCTCCATGACAGCACGATACATTTCACAATTGGTTTCGGTCTAAAAAGGAGCAGAGCAGATTATTTCATCAAGTACTTATATAGAACATATGTTTCACTTATATATATGACAGTTATCAGGAATTATAGCAGATAGCTAACTGACCTAAATGGGTTTTCATTGTCGAAGATCGAACTTAAGTCGGTTGGATTACAGAGAAATTGCTTATAAATCTTAAAAGCGTAGGTGAAGCAGATTTCTATAGACAGAGACAACAGAGAGAATCCATATAAGTTCAAAAACAAACATTCAATCAGATTGCAGTTAGTTATAGCCGTTTTCTAATTTAATCAAGCACTTATACTAAGCTCCACAATTTCGAAAAGAAAAGTAGTAAAGAATGATATCAATTTCAATATCAAACATCATTTGAGCGATTTACATATTATTAAGGTAGAAAAATATGTAAATCATTTCAAATTATGTGCGCTCTCATAAATTATGCCTTTCATTTCTACAAATCTAATTCAAATCAACAGACGAGCCAATTCCGAACTCGAAATCTGTCAACTCTGAAGACCTTTTAAAATGTTATTGATAATAATCAAATATTTAATGTGGACTGATGTGAAGAATGGAATCGAGTGGCTTTTCAATGACAATCAATAGAAGATTTAGAGATGTATAAAGCTAAATATATATAATTTATTTACAGTAAAGAATATAGATCCACTTTCAATTTCCAAATTTCAAAAAAATCACCGCTTCCATTACGTAACTCCCAGACACTTAAAATTCTATTATTGTTAATCTAACTCTGACTCTTTATACCCATTATTGGCATGCCTCACTTACTCAAACTTCTGAGAATTGCATAGAACAGCAGTATTTATCATAAATTTAAGTAAATGCAACTAGTTATTAAGTCAATTTGGCTACGGTTATACCTATAATTCGCAGCATGAATAATCGCTAGATTATGCAATGATACAATCGAGCTCTAAACGTTTTGGCCATTGTCTTTGCCATTGTACATGTAAACGACGCCCTGTCTGGTATTCTTAGGTCATACAGCTCGGCTGTTCCATTCCAGTCGTCTCTTTGTCTCTCTTCTATACATTTAATTTTACGCTTCGTCTGCTCCTATTTGAAATTCATTTGCAGCAATTTGTTATGTTAATTATCTTAAGTAACTTGGCATGCAAATTTGAATAGACATGTTTTTTTCTTTTTTGGTAACTTTTCTTCTTCCACTTTGCCTTTGTTTCTAGAGTTCGAAATTCTGTTAATGATAATTTAAAGCGCGCTCTCTGAATTCAAATTTCGTTTCATTTGTTTGTTTTGCTTTTCTTTCTAACTGTATCCACCAATGCACCCATAACTCTTCAGATTGGAGTTTTTCACTTTTTCATTCACCTCTGTGGCCGGACAAGGTCGTTGCCACAGTAAACTCTCTATTTAATGAATTTATGATCATCGATATTTATCTATAAGCAATTTATAGATTATGTTAATTTTCCATCTATCGGAGATCGTTGCATTTGTCGAGCAATCCCCTTCCACCTCTTGCATTCCGCCCGTTTCACAACTTTCACTCGTACAAAAATCGGACTTCAATTTCAGTTCAACTTTGTTTCTGTGTTTCTGTTTCTGTTTCTGTTTTTCTCTCCWGCTTTGGGGTCTTTAGGCCAGTTGGTTGGCCAAGAAATTTGCCTAGCCTAATTAAGAGGCAGGCACACAGCTGCCAAATTGGCAACACTCAAAGTGTCAAAGATGCCACCTGATCAGAAAAGGCAGCAGCTGCGGCTGGGCCACACCCACTTGCTGCATGCCACATGGCCAAAAAGAGTTTCACACGACGCCCAAATGAGGCAAAAGCTCAACAACAAAAAAGAAGCCAAAACTAAAAACAAATGTTGGCAATGCAATTTGGCAGCAAGCGATTTTAGCCAATGTTTTGTTTTTGGCTTTTTTGCTTTTGGCCAGCCTGCTGATTACGTAAACTACAAAATGTTTGTTGCTGCTGTTGCTGCTGCTATTGCGGTTGTTGATAATACTGCTGTTGTTGTTGTTGTCAGTTTGGCAGTAGCAGCAGCAATTGCCGTTTAGCGTTTTCCTGCTGCGTGTTTATTGGTTTGAAGATGGGAATTACAAGTGCCAAAAGCCCACACATACACACTGAAGCACATCTAATAGGCACACACACATACTCACACCTAGCTTTGTGCAAGATTTATGCAATTGCGCAAAACAACAGGTTTAAGTGCGCCATTTAGGATTCCAAATGTTTTTTAAGTAGATTAATTATGTTGTACTTATAGCATATAAGCATATGAATATATATAGTATACATATATTATATACATACATAAGTTACTAATATATAGAGAAAGTTGTAAATTGAATTGATTCTTCTATGATGTTCTCATACTCAAATTTAATACAGTTACATTTTTATACTCGCTCACATAGTCGAAAGAGTATATTGATTCTCTGCAAATCAACCTGAATTGCCGACTATGCATATCGATATAGATCTTTATTTATAATATAGCCACCTGTACATACAAATATACATACATATGTATATGCTCTCCTTTATCTTGATCAAGTTTATATGACGTGGAAGAGCATCAAATGTAGAGCTGACTTTGTATCATGCTCATTATCAATTCTGTTCCACTGCTCTTTGCCGTTCCGTTTCTACGTACCTGACACAGCTCTCAGCTCAGCTCAGAGCTTGTTGAAGTGAGAGAAGTGCAGTACTTGAGTAATATTTGAGTGGCGCCTGGAAGCCGAGTGTGTGTGTGTGTGTGTGTGTGACTCTTTGTAGATAAAAGCACGATCACAATTCAACAGTTCACAGTCAGGGACAAGAGGGCATTAGAATTGGGTCGTGCTGTAAATTCCAATGCCATGAAGCGCTCATAGCAAAGGTAAACAATATAGAATCTCACATGTTTACTAAACAAACATATATAAAATAAATCACTTTTTTCTCATATATATACCCAATAGGGTATTGATAAATTATTAAACCTAATATTTTGCACAGTTCAACATCTGACATTTTATTATTATTTATGTAATACAGTCGAGTCCCGCTAATTCGAAATGGCAAGCGAACAAGTTTTTTTTTTTTCGATTTAAACAATTATGGAGAATTATTGAGAACGATTTTTTTTCAAGGGGATACATATTTTTCTATTTATCTCGTTTTTTTACAGTTTCGAGACTCGACTGTATTTTATTATAAGTATTTTTCTGTATTTTATATGACAAATTTTAATGCATCCTTATATTATAATTATTTTATTTATATATTTTATATGTTGTCCTTTTCACATTTAATGTAACACGTAGTGACATCATCGATCAACCTGCCCTTGCAATAAAATGTCATAGATTCTGAATTCTCACTAAGCCCAACAAGTCTTGAAATGCAAAAGAATTTTTCATTTGAGTGCACCATTTTCCATTCATAGAGTTGCCTATGATAGACACCAGCAAAAGAAAAGAATTTGCAGCATGTGGCAGCTATTTAGCAGCAGCAATAACTCAGCTAGTTCTCCATAACCAGTCAAGGCAGAGTCTGCTTCAAGATTGTGAAAGTGTTGGTGTTGTTGCTGCTGTTAGATAGTGCTTATGGCTTGTTTAAAGCACATTTGACAGGCTTAACGAATTGAGCTCGGTACACATTGTGGTTCTTCTCTACTCTGTCTTTTTTGGTCACTTCCTGCCCACAATTTGGTTCATTAAAAACCCATCTGGAGCTGAGCCAGCATCCGCTCACACACAAATACACAAACACGCGCAGGCAGAGTGAGTGAGAGTGAGGGAAAACTGTGCGCATAAATTAAAGTTCCTGCCTTCAATCAATCGATGCCATCAATCACAGCGGCTCAGGGATTGAGACTCGATGTCTGTGCGCCTCTTACAGCGCGAGCAGCGGCCCACGCTTCATTTCCCTGATTTGTTTGCTGTTTAATAAAGTTGTAGCCGACGTTGTTGTTGTAATTTTTTGCCGGTTGCTGCTGCTGCTGACCGCCTTTGGGTGCAACATAACCCAGTTTTGCCTCGTTTTATTTTATTTCATTTTTTTTTTTTTTTTTTTTTTTTTGCGTCTCTTGTCTTTATTTTTCCGGCTGCCTTCTTAGCAACTTCGAGTGCGCCGAGAGAGAAATTTGGAAAATAATTATCACTGTTTAGATTGCAATTTGCTGCTGCTGCTGCTGCTGACGGCTTTCCACCAGGCGCATTTCAAAGCGCGTTAAATCAAAATGAAAGCGTAAATATTGTTGTAAGTTGATGAATTAAAAAGAATCTGAAATCAGTTTGTTGACTGCAAGTGTTGCGATGTGTGTAAACAGCGCGCGCCATCTGCCATAGATGTGGAAAGCTGAAGGTCAGCATGGTACAAATATGGCTTGGAAATTCAATTGAAGCAACAACAGGAGAAGAAGAAGAAGACAATGATGAAGAAGAAGCAGCAAGCGCAGCAGCAATAACTGACTATTGAGCACAAGCTACGCTTAACTATTAACCAGGTTAGCTTGAAATGCGACCCACATACTTTGGAGTTCTTGTCTTCTAAATACGAAGCGGTTCAATTAGTTACGCACAGGTTGGGTGGGCAAAAAAAAGAGCAAGACTTAATATTGGATGCATGAATGATTGCTTTGGATTTTGAGCGATATACATATATAATTTGGTATATTGTTTGTCTGTGTATATGAAACAACTGGGCAAAAATATTATATATGATCTTTAATTAATCATAAAATGACCTTATTTGTCTTGTTTTAAGAATTTGAAGAAGTAGGGATAATATCTTATACAAATTTATAATA